AATGAAATCTGGCCATGTGTAGCAACATGGTTGGATCTTGAGGGTGTTATGCTGAGCGAAATAAGTCAGACAGAGAAGGACAAATATCATATGTTTGCACGTATAGGAGGATTAGGAGGAACTTGACGGAGGAACAAGGGGGAGAAGAAGGGGGGAAATGGTGGGGGAAAGGGAGAGAGGCAAACCATGAGAGACTCTTGAATGCTGACAAAAACTGAGGACTGATGGATGTGGGGGGGGAGGGGGGATGGGCATGGAGGAGGACACTTGTGGGGATGAGCACTGAGTGTTATGTGGAAACTAATATGACAATAAACTATTTGTAAAAAAAAAAAAATCCACCAATGGAATTTGTGGAAAAAAAAAAAAAAGAATACGGGTGTTATTTTGATAGGAATTGCATTAAATGTTTAGAGTGCTTCAGACAGTATTGACATTTTAACAATATTTGTTCTTCCAACCCATGAGCATAGAATGTTTTTCTATTTCATTGTGTCCCCTTCAAGTTATTTTATAAGCTTTCTATAATTGTCAGCTTTTACCTCTTTGATTAGGTTTATTCCTATGTGTTCTATAGTTTTCAGTGCAATTGGATCAATTCCTTTATCTTTCTGCTGCTTCATTATTAGTGTATATAAATGCAACCTATTTCTGTATGCTTTGCTAAATTCATATATCAGCTATAGGAGTTTGGGGTGGAATCTTTCGGGTTTTCACTTAGAGTATCATGTCATCTGCAAATAGTGAAAGTTTGACTTCTTCCTTGCTAATCTGGATGCATTTTTTTCTTTGTGTTGCCTAATTGCTGAGGCTAGGACTTCCAACACTATGTTGAACAACAGTGGTGAGAGTAGACATTCCTGTTGTGTTCCTGATCTTAGGAGGAAAGCTCTCAGTTTTTCCCCACTGAGTATGTTATTAGCCGCGGGTCTTTCATATATGGCCCTTATGATCTTGAGGTATGTTCCTTCTATCCCTGCTTTCTTGAGGGTTTTTATCAAGAAAGAATGCTGTATTTTTTCAAATGCTTTTTCTACATCTAGTGAGAGGATCATATGGTTCTTATCATTTCTTTCATTAATGTGATGTATCTAGTTGACTGATTTGCAGATATTGTACCACCACTGTAGCCCAGGAATAAATCCCACTTGATCGTGGTGAATAATTCTTTTAATGTATTGTTAGATTCGGTTTGCTATGTCTTGTTGAGAACTTTTGCATCCATGTTCATCAGGGAGATTAGTTTTTAATTCTCCTTTGTGGTGGGGGTCTTTGTCTGGTTTTGGAATCAAGGTAATGCTGGGCTCATATATTTTTAACTTGATAACCATTAATGCTTTGAACATTACTTGTAAAAATTAACATGTTTATTCCTGAAAAATAGTTCCTCCCAACAAATTCTTGTTTTTCTGAGTCATACAACCACTCTCAGGCTAGAAATTTCAATCAGCACCAATAGAAACATTTCCCTTTACCATGGCTCTGACTACTCAATTATTAACTTGTAGTTTCTTCCTTCAACCTTTGCATTTCTCTCTTCTCATATACACTGCTATCACTCTAACTTGTTAACTTGTAATAGTTTAAAATGGCTTCCCTGTCTCCATCACTCTATTTAAACTCCCAGCCTTCAAAGACTCAATTCTGGTACCTAGTCTACATTTCCGATCTTACCTAGTTTTGTCAAAGAATGCCCTATTCCATTCTAACCAATTTCCTCCCTCATCCCTTGAGATTTCCTTAGCCTTTGTGATTTGGTCTATACCACTACCTAATAGAAAGACTTCCATTCTCAGCTATTCTATCTACTAAAACATTCCCATCCTCTTCCATACCCAGTCACTCTCTTGACCCCTCTAACTCGTTATATTTTTCTTATATATCTCATATTCATGTGATATTATATAACCTATGTGATTGATATACGTATCTCTATATATACATATTACACACACACACACACACATGTGTGTGAAACTCCATAAATTTGCTAACTGAATTACTGTACTTGCTCAAATGCCACCTCTTCTAGACAAATATATCTCTTCCTCTGAAACCACTTCATTCTGATAACACTTTACATGTAATTTATACACAGTGTTATATGAAGGTAAACAAACATCTCCTGATTTTCAGGTAACTCTAAGTTTGAAGAAACTCTATATTGAATTTGGGAGAAAAGAACAGACACATTATAACATATACAGATATTTATTTTTATAATCATATTTTAATATATTTTAAATGATAATACATATTATTTAAAGACTAATACATATTAGTCTTATCTGTTTTGGTAACAAAGACTTAATTAAAAATACGCATGGCTAGTTATCACCAGAAGAAAAGTATAGCATGTCCTAAAAAGGTTTAATTTCTAAAAAAAAAATGAAAAATATGGTGAAGTATTAAGTTACCTGCTATGTCATCTACAATCTCTGTATATGTTCTTCTAGCTATGTCAAGAAATTCATTTATGTTAGATCTCACTGCATAGCACTTCTGAGTCCTCATGTTCAGGCATCCTTTCATGTATCTTGCATCATCATTAATTATGGTTTTAATCTTTTCAAGTATGATTCCAAATCTAAAAAAGAATATTAAAGGTAATTAAGTCAAACAATTATTTTAATTTATAATCTCAGTCTGTTAATGAGGTATTTTCTTGAAATAATTTCAAATATAATAAGTAATATATTTTCTTGAAATCTGTTAAAATTATTTTGAAAATAATTCAGCTTTATATATATATATAACATTTCAGAAGTTAGAACTGTGACTACATCAATTTTAAAATGTTTCATCAATCAAGATTAGTCTTTTAAAATAACAGGATGCCACCAAGAACAATTCTACAACTGCTAATAAGATCTACCAAATTATTTACACCAACTATGTCTATGAGTATAAAATATATCCATGAAGAACTGTTATCAAAATTCTGGTTCCATGTTCATTGACTCAATAAACATTTACTTATACCATTTATCAATCAACGTGTCAGGTGTACAGATTCAAAGAAGGATTAAATGTATGGTTCATGCCCTCAGTTGGGGGCACTAAACTAAACACATACTGTAAAGACAGTGTAACGGGAACCTCACAATAATCAGTAACTAACTGCAGTGATCATGCAAACCAAAAGTCTGGTAACATTTATTTTCCTAATCTTTTGTTTTCCTCTGTTCTGTATTTTATTTATAATTGTTTTATTATTAACCTCAATTTGTGGCTCACAAAAGATGTGAATCCTGAATCAATAAAATAACAGTTCTTAAGTAACACAAGTCTTTTTGGTCAAGAATCAAGGTGTAATTGCTAAAAACAATATTAAAATTAAACTGTGTTTAGATCTTACTCAAAAACTATATCAATTATTTTTGGTTACATTAGGCCCTTTATGATTTATAAAAAAGAAGAGTATCTTTTTATATTTGTAAGTCTTTCCATTGAGAATGGCTAAAAAAAGAATTATTAAAATTGTGTATGATTTCAATTTTTAATACTATTCCAACTGTCCATTAACAAAAATACTCAATGTGCTGTTTCCTTATGGGTATGTATAAGATGTAATGTGTAATTAGAATTTTGATGAATAGTTTAAAGGTACTGTTAACCAGACTTCAAGTAATTGCTCTATAGATTACAATTAGAGTCTTTAACATCAGTTATGATCAGGAAGAAAGGAATAATTAGCATGGATATTTGATTAACAGCTGAGTGACAAAGACCTCTTATCTTCTAAGGAACCACAGTAAGCCCTTAATAAAGGTGTGTTACAGTTCTTCAGAGCAATCTGTTAAAAAATAAAATAAAGATAATTAAAAATAATAAATGACACTATTCAAACATATCATTTTACATTTGTTTACTACTTTACAGTTTACCAAGGTCTTTCTTGACTTTCTTGCTTCATCTTCTCATGTATGTACTCATAATAGATATTTTAGGTATGTAGGTGAGGACAGATGGGATCTTTCTCATTTTCAGATAAAGAACACCTGGCTAATAAAGAGGATCCACTGCTGTACTGTCCTGACTTTAATTTTTCTTGTCTGTCAGCTAATAGTTAGCATTCAAGTACTTTTTAGGGGAAGGTACTTAAATAGCTATCACTGTACATTTAGTTTTTTAAGTTTATTTATTTTTGAGAAGGGGGTGGCATGTGCACAAGCAGGGGAGGGGCAAAGAGAGATACAGAGGGAATCCCAGGCAAGCTCTGCACTGTTAGGGTGCAGCCCGATGCCAACGTTGGGCTTCATCTTCCCAAAAGAGAGATCCTGACCTGATGGGAAATCAAGAGTCAGAGGCTTAACCAACTGAGCCACTCAGACACCCACTATCGTTGTGCATTTAGAGTACTCTACATATAATTCTAAAATCTGGGTTTTAGCTATGCATTAAACTAAAAAAGTGTTTTTGCATATTTATAAATAGAGCAATTTCTCCATTCTTTTTTTATTTTTTTAATGTTTATTTATTTTTGAGAGGGAAAGAGAGAATGTGAGTGGGGGAGGGGGAGAGTGAGAGAGGGAGACACAGAATCTGAAACAGGTTCCAGGCTCTAGGCCGTCACACCACACAGCCCGACATGGGGCTGGAACTTGGGAATAGCGAGATCATGATCTGAGTCTAAACTGGATGCTTAACCGACTGGGCCACCCAGGCACCCCAGCAATTTCTCCTTTTCATTTTTATTTATTTATTTTTTTTAGCAATTTCTCCATTCTTATATGGAAAAAGCAGTGATTTAATTTTGCTTAATGGAAACTATGAGTGGTCACTATTTGAATAAATAGAAAAAAGAAGAAAACATAGTTAACCCGACTTTTACCTACTTTAGTTTGCTATAAGGCAATGGCAATAGTAACATTTTTTGCTTATGAATAGAAAATATTTAAATACTTTCAAAAACTGTAAAAGTCATAAAAGCATAAAGAAAAACATTTAAATCATCCTCTAATTCTACCATTCTTCCAAATAAATAATCTAAACATGATGGTATATTTCTGGTCACTTCCTCAAATAAAAAATCTTTTTATTATTGCATACTCCTTTTCTCTCCTACTTAATACTGCATCACAAGTATTAGAAACTTTTATTAGGGGCACCTGGGTGGCTCAGTGGTTAAGGACTGACTTCAGCTCAGGTCATGATCTCCTGGTTAGTGAGTTCAAGCCCCACATCAGGGTCTGTGCTGACAGCTTGGATCCCGAAGCCTGCTTTGGATTTTGTGTTTCCCTTTCTCTCTGCCCTACCCTGCTCACACTCTGTCTCTGTCTCTCAAAAATAAATGCTTAAAAAATAAAAAAGGAACTGTGTCTCAAAAGTAAACACACACACACACAAAAAGAAACTGTCTCTCAAATATAAATGCTTAAAAAAGGAAACTTTTAATAGTATAAATTTTTAATAAGTCATATTTCACCGTCAAGAAAACAGTCTGTTCCCTTAATTCTTGGTGTTGTATGCTACTTGTAATTTCTCAGTCACATAAATAATGGTGCAATGACCGTAACTGGGCATAAATCTTGATCAGTATTTCTCAACTGACAGAGCCATCCAGGCGCCCTAGGGCTTGGTCAATATTTCTTAAGAGTTCTTTTGGACAGATATCTAGTAATATAACAGCATCAACAGATAGATGTTGAAAAACTTCCTTGTGAAGTTTATGTACTATCTGTACTCATACCAGCTGTCTATAAAGTTGTATGTTTTATTATTCTCTCATTAGCATTAAGTTGCATCCATTAAAGAAAAAAATCTTTACTTCTTTGGTATATAAAAAATGACTTTAATTTATATTTCTTTGACTAATATTGAGGTTGAATATTTTTGGTATTACTTATTAACCCCTTTGATTTCCATTTTAGAGGCATTTTGCATATTTCTATTGTTATTCTAGTATTTTCTTATGAAATTATGTGACTTTTATGAAAGAAATTAATATTTTGTCTGTTATAAATTTTTCCTAATTTTCTTTGGCCTTTAATTTGTCTTTGACATGTCAAAGCTTAAAATTTGTGTTTTATCAAATTTATCAATTTTGAAGGATGATGTATTATACTTTTTTCATTCTAAGAAAGATGGCAACCTTTTTTAAATCTTTTGCCAAATTGTTTTCATTATATAATATTTATTAGAATGAACTCTGCAACAAAATTCTTCCACATTTTCCATTATTTTTTCTTTTAAAAAAGAAGTTCTTCCTTGTCACCTTAATGTTTAAAAATGTTTTGCACAGGGGCACCTGGCTGGCTCCATTGGTAGAGCATGAGATTCCTGAACTCAGGGTTATGCATTTGAGCCCCACAATGGGGGGTAGAGATTATTTAAATAAATAAATGTTTAAAAGCAAGTTTTGTACATTTTAGTATTTATACTATTAAAAATCACATCAGAGGTACTTCAGGTAAGAGTTAGAAATAACTAAAATAAAGTGAACAGGATATTTGCATAGTTTCAAAGTATATCTTCACAGATTACTTAATAACTTCACAGTGAATTGATCAAAGTTCATACCACCAGGATGCGGAATGAGACCATGTGTCTTCTGATGTGATGTACTAACAAAGGTACAACTTTTCCCATAGGGTATTACTGCTGAATATGAATTCAGCTTATGAATTAAGCTGAACTTAATCATGAGAAAATAACCATACACACAGATTGAGTTGTTTATATTCTATAAACAACTGCACTCTTGAAAATATTAATATCATGACAAAGAAAGGATGAGAAACTTTTAAGTTAAAAAAGTATAAGGAAACATGACATTAAATATAATGCATCATCCTGGGGTGGACCCTGTATCAAGGAAAAAAATCTATAAAAAAATTATTAAAACAATTAGAAAAATTTTAATTTAGAGTACACATAATAGTATTGGCTCAATGTTAAATATCCTAGTTTTTTAAATTACACTGTGGTTATTTAAGAAAACTATCTTTGTTCTTAAAGATATACACTTTAGTATTTAGGTATTGCAATTTTCAAATAGTTCAATAAGGGTAATGATAAGTATAATAATTAGTAGTGTCTGTTGTATGAGTATGGAGAGAATATGGGAATTAATTATACTATTCTTGCAACTTTATCTAAATTTCAAATTATTTTGGAACAAAAAGCTCTTTTAAAAACCGACACTAGACATGTTTTGTACAATATACATCCATATAAGTTACCTTTAAAGGATCCACAAGTTCCAACGTATGTTTTAGGTATATTAAATTTGTTATCTTCGATTCAGCTGCATTAACCTATTAAGATAAAGACCCAAATGTGGATGCCATAAATATATAATACAAGAATGGGTTTTCATCTTGAACATTCTACACTGATCATATTCATACATTTTGATATATTAACTACCCAGTATACCAGCATAGACAATACAGATGATAGTTACAATTACTGACCCATCATAATAAGCCTAGTGCACTAGTTTCCAGAAAGTCTGACAATGAGAAGAGGTCATCTCATTGTGTCCAACTTTCATTTCTACTTCAGCCCCTTGGGTCCAGCTTAACCTACAGTAGTGATAGAAGATACAGTTCAATCCTAAATGGTACCAAGAGACTTAAGATTAATTGAAAAAGGCACAAAGCGTATTTGAGGAAAGATAATATTTGAAAAGCTACATCCAAACCTCCCAGGTAGTTACAGAATGACACAAATTTCCCTCATTAGTTCTTGTTTGTGCAAGTGAAACAATTTCCTTAATTCCAGTTGTCCAAATTAATTATAGCTTTTCAAAGTAAATCAACATCAGCATTCAAAATTTTACAAATAAATTTCTTGTAAATCAAACTGTACTATCCCTAGAACCAAACAGTGGTACTAAACCTGGGGAAATGAAGAATGTTTTCTGAATGGATAAATTTACCATACAGACAAGGAGTTTTAGGATATTACATTATGATATAATATACTTGACATAGCACTGTTTCCTTTGTAGTCTTCCGACCTATATCCCTATTACCCAATACCTGACCTATTTCCTAAAGCACAATACCTGGACTGTTTGGTGACCATATGAGTCAATTTAGAAGAAATCCCAAAATAAATATTAGCCCCAAAACAAGTTACTTCATGCTCTCAATAGATCTCCAAAACTGGAAGATTAAAAAGTAAATAATAGTCACCAACAGAAGACAGCTTTCATCCCTATTACCAAAGGAGAATATCTTCCAAAAATACCAATTTGCCCTTGAAGAACAAGGTAGAAGGATTAAATCTAATGAAAATCTGCTTATAATAAAGTTAGAATAATTAAGGAAACTGGTATTAGCACAAGGACAAAGAGAAGGATCAATGGGACAGATTAGAGTCTAGAAATAGACCCAAACATATGATTTAACCCAAGCATTTGATTCAAGGCTGACTATAGAGTAATGGGGAAAGGAAAGTCTTTTCTATAAATGGTCCCAATAAGATTATGAATCTGTATTTTAAAAAAAAGGAATGTGGTCTCTTCTTCACACCACGTATAAATATCAATTCCAAACAAATTACACATCTAAATACAAAAAAGTGAAACAATAAAACATCTAGATTATATCAAAAAAGAATATCTTTACTACCTTGGGTGTTCTAACCAACTTTTTTTTAAGTTTATTTATTTTCAGAGAGAGAGAGTCCATGCATGTGTAAAAGAGGCAGACAGAAAGGGAGAGACAGAATCGCAAGCAGGCTCTACACTGTCAGCACAAATCTGAACACGGAGCTCAGTCTCACAAACCATCATCATGACCTGACGTGAAGTCAAGAGTCAGATGCTTAACTGACTGAGCCACTCAGGCACCCTGTTTTTTTTTTTCCTAAAGTTTGTCAACTTTTATAAATTTTATAATTGATGATTTGACATACATTATTCACAGGACCAAACTAATGGCCAAAGTTGCATATATCTCCACCATGGTCTGGATTTTGCAGGCACAGAAATCAAATTACAAACCCTACAACCACAAACTCCAACATCTGTGTTTTGCTTTCTACCAAATAGGGGATGTTCCTACTTAATAACTTCTCATTACTGTAGTAATAAAGACTTCTGTGATGTTTTCCCTTTACTCCTTCAGCCCCTGACCAACCCTGGTACTTCCCCATGTGACCCCGTGTTGCCTGCTCACCCCTCTCAGAAATTGTATGTAATAAAAATCTTCTTTTAATAACTTCTGCCTCTCTATGTCATCACTTAGAAATCTCCATAAATTAAAACCGCATGGGTACAATCAAGACATTGGGGTAGGTAAAAACTTCTTATACAGGATACAACAACCATTATAAAGGAAAAAGCATAAAAGCATAAGCTAGGCTCTACATTTAAATTAAGAACTTCTAATAAGTCACACAAAGAAAGTCAACAAAGATCTCACTTATATGTGGAATCTAAAAACAAAGAAAAAAACCAAGCTCATAAATACAGAGAATAGACAAGGGGCTAGCAGAGGCAGGGAGTGGGCAAAATGGAAGAAGGAGGTCAAAAGGCACAAACCTCCAGTTGTAAAATAAATAGGTCAAAAGGCACAAACCTCCAGATGTAAAATAAATAAGTCATGAGGATGTAATGGAGAGCATGGTGACTATAGTTAATAATCTCTATTGCATATTTGAAAGTTGCTAGAGAGTAGATCTTAAAAGTCCTTGACACAAAGGAAAAAAAATTCTAAGTATGTATCAAGATGGATGTTAATTAGACTTACTATGGTGATCATTTTGCTATATATACAAATACCAAATCATAAAATAAAGAACTTTCATTCATCAAAAGGCACCACTGACCCAGGATAGGTTCTCCAAAAGCCAACTCAGAGAAATTATAATTTGAGGACAAATAATTTATTTGAAAAGTTATTCTAAGAAGTATAGGCAAGAGGGTAGAGAAGGGCAGCAATACAAGATGCACTGATGATCATGGTATCACTGCATGATACCGTGGCTCAATCCTGCTGGAGACTACTCAAAGATGGTATAGAGTAAGCTTCAGAAGGTATCTCCAGAGTTAAGGAAAATGATGTATTTATTAACCAACTCCTGTTTGGTATTGGTTAAGACCTATTGCTGAGCAACCACTCCCTAATTACCCTCAAGTTTCTCATGTGGCTAAAGAAAATCCTAAGGCAGTGAGTTTCAGTTGCTTGTAGTAAGAAGACTTCCTTGTACAAAAGTGAATACCAAGGGGATGTGGGTGGCATAGCAACAATATCTACTCTACAATACTGCGTTAAAAAGCCAACTACGACATGGGAAAAGATATATGCAACTCACAAAACCAACAAAGGAATCATAAAGCTCTATAAATCTCAAAAAAAGATAACCAAAAAGAAAAATGGGCAAGAGAGTTGAACAAGATGTTCACAAAAGAAGATAGTTAAATGGTCAATATACATATGAACAGATGTTCAACCTCATTAACAGAAAAATACAAATTAAGACCACAATGAAATACTACTAGCTACCAACCACTATGGCTAAAATTTTTAAACTGATAATATTAGGTTTGAGGGAAGAGTAATGGGAATTCACATACACTGCTAATGGGAATATAAATTGATATGATCATTCTGAAAAACATTTTCACAAACATTTCGTCATTATCTACTCAAGTTGAAGATATGCATTCCTCATGACTCACAAATTCCACTCCTAACTATGTGTTCAATAAAAATGTGTATACAATTATATTAGGAAATACTTACAATATTGTTTAGCAATATTATTTCTAATTTCCAGAAACTGTCAACAGCTCAAAAGTCCAACAGTTAAATAAATCATGGCATATTCATACAGTGGAAGATTACATAGCAATAGAAATAAATGAACTACAGCTAAATGCAACAATGTAATTAAATCTCACAAACATAATGTTGGCCAAATAAAGCCACATATAAAAAATATACATGAATGTTTCCTTATACATAAACTTTTTAAAATAATGGGTAAAGCTAGAGTAAAAAGAAAAACAAGAACACCATTACAAAAAAGTAATTTCTTTTTGGAGGAAGGGAAATAGAGAATAATGAACCAAAAGAAGCAAAATGGGAGTTTTTAAAGTAATGGCAAAACACCTATTTCTTCACTTTGGCAATGCCTGAAGGCATTTTTAGTTGTTACAACTGGGGAGATGCTGTTAGCATTTAGTGCGTAGAAGCCAAGGTGGCTGCTAAACATCCTAGAACATATAGAACAGTAAAAGAATTATCCAGCCAAAAATATCAACCATGCCAAGCTTGAGAAATTCTGCTGTAGAGGAGCTGTCTTACTATAAGCATACAGATACTCTTATCCTTTTATATCAATAATGATTTCCTCCCTGCTTGTTCTTTCTCTGTATCCCTCTCTAATCTCTCTATACTTTGCTGGCTTCAGAAGTAAGCAACTGAATTCTACAGCTGCAAGGAAGTGTTATGCTGAGTGAAATAAGTCAGGCAGAGAAGGACAGATACCATATGTTTGCACGTATAGGAGGATTAGGAGGAACTTAACGGAGGACCATGGGGGAGAAGAAGGGGAAAAATAGTTGGAGACAGGGAGGGAGGCAAACCATCAGCGATTCTTGAATGCTGAGAACTGAGGGGCTGATGGGGGTGGGAGGGTGGGGAAGGGGGGTGATAGGCATAGAGGAGGGCACTTGTGGGGATGAGCATTGGGTGTTACATGGAAACCAACTTGACAATAAACTATTAAAAAAAAAAAGAAAGAAAGAAAGAAAGTAAATGTCAACACCACAAGTGGATAGGTAGATCCTTCCCTAGTTGAGTACTCCAACTGAGTATTCCACCTTGGATGACATCTTAACTGCACCCTGAGAGAACCTAAGCAGAGAATCAAGCTAGAATGTACATAGACTTCTGATTTACAGGAACTTTGAGATAATAAATATGTGAAGTTTTAAGCTGCTATGGTCACGGTAATTTATTATGCAGCAATAGACACCTAATTCAAGGTCTCTTTGCAACTTTCTTATTCAAAGCCAACAACAGAGAGAATCTCTTCACGGGGATTAGGAAATAATTCTCTACTGGCCTTTTACATTTTTGTCTATCTTCTGAGCAGACACTGACTGCCTTTGTTCTGCACAGTCTTTTCAAAGATGTTTGTTTAGTTAGTAGTTTTGAAAGATATAGTGTCTCCTTCTAGAGCAAAGGGTGAGTTTGCTTACAGTCTTGGAAGATTAAGATGATAACTCCTCCAGAACAGCAGGCAAAATATTTATTACTCGTTATAAAAGATTCAGCTTCCCTAATCTCTTCAGTTC